GCAGAGCAATAGCACAGTTGTACATAAAATACTGCAATCCCCACAACATAATAGGAGACGTATCAGGGTTCAAAAGATGACAAATTGTCTGTGACATCTGTGACCAGGACAGCAAGTCTTTGTGGTGCATTGAGAGCCTCAGTATCCAGGGTAATGTCTGCATACCACCATGAAGGACGGACCAGATCCAGCAGGAGTAACTGTGGATGCACGAGGAAGCTGTCTGACAGGGACGTCTGACAGGGACGTCCGGGCACTAACCCAGACCAATACGCTCAGCAAGCTTGGTAACAGAGTGGTTTGATGAACATGACAGTGAAGCTGAAGATCTCCCATGACCTGCACAGTCACCAGATGTCAATATGATTGAGCAACTTTGGTGTATTTTGGAGGAGCGAGTCAGGAAATGTTTTCCTCCACCAGCATCAGAGTGACCTGGCCACTGTTCTGCAAGAGGAACGGCTCAAATCCCTCTGGCCGCTGTGCAGGGCGTGTATCTGTCATTCTCAAGACCAACTCCTGCAGAATTGGCCACAAAAGGAGGCCCTACACCATACTAACAAATTACTGTAGTCTAAAACCAGGTGTTTCAGTTTCATTGTCCAACTCCTGTAGATACAGAAATATGCAGAGAGGCAGACAGATCACCACTCAATACCTGATAAAGTGGCAAAGGTACAAGCTGGGAGAGAAAACACCTCTAAGACGGCAAGGTAAGTGGAGGAGAGCAGGTCCCCCCAAGAGCCGAAGCACCGGGGCCTAACGAGTCGCCGTTATGCTAACGAGGGAAGGGCTCGTGAGGGACGGCTTGATTAACACACTTTACGAAGGATGGCCGGCAGCAGAAATGTGAAAACGCCAGGCCGTTACGGCGGTACGATCGCGCCAGGGCGATTCTCACATGACAGGCAATTAAGCATCTTTGCCCCCCGGAGCGCCAGACACTCTGTCGGCGGCGGGGGGGGGGGGAGGGAGAGTGAGAGAGAATCCCCCAGTTACTCAGCAAGGGCTGGAAACTGGCACAGAGGTGGGGAGTCAGCAGGCCCCCGGGCAGCCTGTAGCCATGGCCCATTCAGCACGCCTTTATATAGCGCCTTTCCCAGCTGAGCTGACCCACAGCACCTAAGGAATGATTCAGCGTACAGAGAGTATTTAACACACCAGGGACAGACATAAGAGCAGAGAACCCAATAATGCGATTCTGCCCAGCCAGGTGGGGGCGCTCTGCAGGCGGTGGCAGCTGTGGGTTTCACACAGAGACCTTACAGCCCCCCCTCCCCACGGTGCCCAGACTGGAGAGCATTCTGCATTCCACCGGCGCACACCCTGACGAGCGCCGTCTGCCCCCCCCCCACCGCAGCAGATCAATCCACGCTCTTAATCCCGGCCTGTCAGGCGGCTCTTAGGGGGAGACACCTTGCCAGGTTGGTGGGGGGGTGTCATTAAAAGGAGATGAGCTGGCCCACAGGGACTCTGAATGGGCCAATGGTACAGATCTGTCAAATGCAGGGACTCCGCCCCCCCCAGAACGTCACAGGGAGCTGCACACTTCCTCCAATTCACCCCCCAGCCACTCCCAGAATCCACCTGTACTACAAAATAAATGTGTTGATTTCTTGCCACCAGGGTCCGGGGAAGTAAACATCCCCCCATGCTACACGGCACGACGAGGCATTGACAGCCCTGCCATACGGCAGTCAGACTGCTATTTTCCGAGATGGGGGGGTCATCTCCTTGCCTCAGGTCTGTTGCGCATGTCGGCTGGCCTCCCTCCGTGAGAGCAGGTGTCGTCCCACCGGGGACCAGGGACCCGGAACCGGAGCGATCGGCAAATTCTCACGTCCTCCACGAGGCTGGTGAAAGGCAGCCGAGGGGGGGGCCGGATCTAACCGGCCCTCGGCCGATAAGGAGATGAGAAGCACCCCTGGGAGGGGCCCTGAGGCAGCCAGAGAGGCTTGCCTGCAGATCTGTGGCAGACCAGATAAAGCACCGAATTCTGCAGCCAAATCCTCATCCGTGAAGGGAATGAGTCGTCGAGCAGCTTTATTTTTTGTTTTTTTGTTTTGTCAGGAAGTAGCTGGAGAGCTGGAACCCAGCGAGTGAGTCACGCGCACCTGCGCCGAGGCGATAATCAGGCGTGTTACAGGTGCAAATCACGTTCAACGGGGGCCCGCGGCGGAGGGCGTGGCTGGGCGGCTCACGGCTCACACCTGCACGGGAGATTCCGGGGGCGCGAGCCAGAGTTAATCACAATGGCAGCAGGGGAGGGGGGAATTCCTTAAAGAGGCGGAATGTGCAAGAAGGGGGGAATCCCTGCGTGACTAACAGGGCAGGCACAAAGGATTATGGGTAATCCAGTTGCATCCCACAACCTTCAGCACCAAAAGCGTAGAATGAAGAATGAATATCAATATGAAAAGTTATTATATTATTAGATACAAAGGTCTGATTGGATTCATAACTCTTATCTCAACACAGCACCACCATTACGCCCAGTAAACCCAGCACTGGGGTCCACTGTCACAGTCATCAACCCCCCCAGTGGTGACCTACCTGAAGGCAGGACATCTCCATGGCGCTCTTGGCGACAGACGGCTAAGTGTGACAGACATGCCGAGACGGAGAGACTGCCATCCGATCCTCTGGACCTCCCGGGTGCCGTGACTTCGATCAGATGGTGGGTCGCGGCTCACATTCCCGACACGCCGCAAAGCCCTCCAACCTTCCGTGTCGGAGCTCCCGGCACCGCGGCGCGTCTGCGGTCTCGGCGCCTCAGCCGTTAATCAGATTAATCATGCGAAAATCAAACTGGATGCGAATAAATTATGCTGCGCAAAAGTCTCCATTGGCAATTATAGCCTCTCACATACAGGGCCCACGTTACAGGCCTGGGGGGCAAATTAGATTTCAGTACAGCAGTCAAGTCAGAACTGAGAACCAGCACAAAAGTGTGGGGTAAATTACGATGTTTAGAGGCAATTTGTGAGGAAGCTTCTAGAAACCAAAGATTTTTAAAAAAAAAAAAAAAAAAAAGGTACTGTGTGTCAGGGTGAAAGCCAGCCGTTAACAGAACATGTGGTGGGTTAAGGTTACAGCCGATTCCCGTGCACAGGCCCAGGTCCTCCCCCACTGCGCCACCTGCTGTCCAGAAAAATGCATTCAGTTTTCAGGCTAAAAACCCAGAAGCTGGGAGATTTTTCTGCCGTTTTCCTGCTGAACCTTTTAATTAGATTAATTTATTAATTAGATTAATTCAGATTCATTCTGATAAAAATGAACGCAGTAGAGGGAGACACGCTAAACTAACAACTGTATAAAAAGTGTAAAGCATTATAAAAAATGAAGGCTGAGGAATTTCCCATCTGGGAATAACGGTCCCGTCGTTTCAGAAGATGAACAAATCGTTCGGGCAAACACTGAATAAACCCAACAAATGTTTAGATTTGTTTACATTCCAGCAAGAATTAAATATTTTATAACAACACACAGGGGGAGCAGCCCCCCCCCGAGGCATGTTAGCTGAAGAACACCTGCGAACGTGACAGAAATACAGAGCAATGTCACAGAAGCGCTCTGTGAAAATGTGCAGGTGGGAGTTCAGCGAGAACAAAAAACCGGGACAACCCTATACCGCCCCCCCAGGTTTAGAGGGATTTAAGTGACACTCAAGACTGAGGAGGAAGACAGAAAGACTCACAACAGCAAAGATCGATTTGCCCACGTTGACAGAAGGGGACAAAAAAAAAAAAAATGTATCGAGCTTCTGAATCATTGCGGGAGAATGTGAGACTCGAGGTAAAAGGTGTTTATGAAAATAAAACACCCAAAATTTATTTCTACCCATCAACACTTGAGCACCACTAAAAAGTCATCTTATTAATAGCCCATTGGCAGGGAGTGGAATGAGTCCCCGCTCATCTACATCTCTCTTAGGAGTCCATGGGGCCGATTTGCAGGTAGCGGTGCGATCGCCGTGGTGACGGACGGCAGACGCCGATGCTTATTCACGGAGGGACGCGCCGCTCGCAAAGTCAAACCAGACGCCCGAATTTGAGCCCGGAGTTTATTTCCAGGAGAGACCGGCTGTCTGCTGTAGAATAGTGGCTTACATGCATCTTATCTGACAGGCCAGAGAGGGAGATGGGGGAGAGAGGGGGGGCATAACACAGAGGCTGATAAACAGCCCCCCCCCCCCACCTAATGCAGGTGGTGCCGTGGCAACGTGACGACACTGGGGAAGCCGGTACAGACTGGATGCTCTTTTGTAAGACAAACTCAAGGCGAGTGGTAAGTGAACACAAATAGAATATTTAACGTGACAGACCCTGCCCCCCCCTCCCCACCAGCAAAGCCCCAAAGATACTCACCAAAAGTAAACACCAGAAACACCTCCAGTGGACAAACAACGGGGGAACCTTCACCAAATAGGGCAGAACAAAAACACTCACCGTTTCTTCTTTTTTTATCAGTCAGAAATTTCCCCCCCAACAGACACCCCCCCCATTTTAAACTATTCAGTTGAAGTACCCTACTCAGAACCCCCCCCCCTGGGATCTGAATCAACTGCCCTCAAATTCACATCTTGACTTTTTTTCCTGCCCATCAGAAGGTAATCTCCCAAAACACACCCATGCAGCAAAAAAAGGGGGCTGAAAGATGGGCTAGTGGGGGGGGGGGTGGGCAGTTCAGCATGGAAGATGCTGCCGTCACCTGACCCACATGGGACATGTGGTCTACACCACTCACACTCTCTCTCACCCCCACAGACCTCTCAGGAGCCTTAGGATCAACAGAGAACATAAAGCCTTAAAAAGCTCTAACCGCTTAAATTCCAGATCTTTGACACTTCCAGTGTTTCAGGGGCCCCTTCCAGTGCACAGCTGGACAGGAGCCTTGCAACACCAGCTGCAGTGAGCACCGTCGTCAGCGAATCAAACATCTCGCTGTGGGAGTTTGCCGATTGGCCCCAAAAGCCCAACTGAATGTCAGCGGAACACAGATCTTTCAATTCCATTTTTATTTGTACATGGTGGGGAAAAGGAGACGACTTTTTACACTATCGATATGGGCTCATACGCAAGCTGGTCTGGATGTGAGCAGCTAACATCCCTGGCAGGAACATTCAGCAGAACATCATCTCAGAACGTAAGGAGGCTTCTCACCAGGAGTCAGACGCCCCCTGGAGGTCTATGCATGAATTTGGTCCTTCTGAATAATTTAAAATTACAGCTTTTTTAAAATTTTAAAAGTCTTTTGCACAACTGTGCACTGCGAGTTCTTTAAGGCCCTTGGTATAAAATTGCACTTAAAATAAAAGAAACAGGGAAACAAAAGCGGTACCATAGTCTCAATGTTTTGTTTCCGTCAGGACGATGTTGGCCGTGACGAACAACAGGCAGGAAGCGGCCCACAGCAGCACGAAGCCCACCCAGAAGGTGTGGCGGAAGGGTGAGCCGTGCTTGTTGATGGCCTCACGGCCCAGGACGGGCTGCAGGTGGCGCCGGCTGAGCAACACTAGGCAGGCCGGGATGATGTACTGGATACCCGTGCCAGCGTAGGCACCAGTGATGCCCACCAGAGATTCCAGGTCATGCGTGCAGAAGGCCACGATGACAGGGGGCGCCAGAGTGATGAGCGGAAATACCACGCGGTCCACCACCCAGGGGTAGGTACCCCCCTCGCGGTGGAACAGCGTCTTCCAGTTGTTCCGCAGCGTGACAGCAATGATGGGGAAGTTGGTGCTGATGGTGAAGACAGGGAAGAGGCCCAGGAAGTAGCGCAGCGGCGCCATCAGCTGACAGTCGTCGGTGAAGCTCAGCGTGTACATGTCACGCAGCTGCGAACCATCGAAGCAGAAGATGGCCGTGAAGGAGAGCAGGCCGTAGAAGGCCAGGATGAGGGAGTAGTCAGCGAGCAGCATAGGGCCGAGGCGCCGTTTGTCCGAGATGGGCGTCACCAGCGAGGGCAGCGAGTGCTGGCACATGAAGGAGTATACACAGACGCCGAAGAGGTTGGGCACGCCCGAGAGCTGGGCGACGGGCGGGTGACCCTCGCCACTGCCCCTCCCGATGCGGATCAGCGCCAGGACGATCATGGTGGAGAACGCTGAAAGGCACGGGGGGCGGAGTTAGATTTGGTGGGGGAGGGGAGCGTCATACGAGCGCCAGGTCTCCGTCATGAGAGATAAACCAGCACTGCGGAGCCAGACATTCATATTTAACAAACATTCAAAGATTAAATTCTCTATGTGGTGTTTTAATGCAGGACAGTCCGGCTCAAGGAAAATAGGAAAAACAAAAAAAAAAAAAGCAGAGAAAGGAATAAATGAACAGATGAGGCGCAGGGAAAAAAAAAAAGGGAAACACACACACAGCCAGAGTTCTGTCAGAGCGTTCACTGAGGATCCAGTCATCAGAGTGACTGTGGAGCTGATTACACCTGCTGGTGATCCTCTGTGAATCACAAGGTGGGCTGGGTGCTTCCCCACACACACGACTCGTGTTCCTCCTTGGCTGATTGCACCTGTGACCTTGCAGCAAACGTCTCCCCCAGGATTTGGGGTGTGGGGGGGCGGCAGATACATCTGTAAGTCTCTGCCGGGCTGCTTAACCCAAGGTGGGGCGTCTATAAATACCCGTCAGGGCAGGCGGGGGCTCGCCACACACCAGCAAGCGGGCCGGGGCCGCAGGTGCCGCGCCATTCGGGGGAGACGCTGGCGCAAGGTCACGTCCGCTAACGCCACGCCACGCCACCTGCTGCCTCAACATTACCACGGTGCGGTTCACTTCGACCTGGAGTGCCAAGTCGGACGTTACGCGGTTAAGAAAGGTGTCTCTCTATCCGCCGGATGAGCCCACAGATTATCTACGGTGCTTAGAAGGAATCCAGAGACGATTCGGCCTCTTTGTCGAGAAGAACCCATCAAACCACAAACTACCACAAATCGGTTGGCCCTTTGAAGTTGGCAACAGGGGAGAAACCCTCACCTGAATCGGAAATCATGCCCTGAAGATACAGAGGGTGGTACCAAGCCTCAGTGAGCATCACGCTTGGCTCACACCGGCAGGACTCAGGGTTCGAATCCCACATCTGATTGGTATGTGAAGAGCTACATGCCCTACTGCTCTACCGCGTGCCGGTGCTGCCTGGGATAGATCTCAGGCTCCCTCTTAGCAGATGAATGGATACACGTTCCGTAGAAGCAGAAATGGATGTACGATTCTTAGGTGTTCTGTCACTCCAGAACCAGCTGCCCCTTTTCTTTGCTATGTAGACGACCCACCTAGTCTGAACCTCCGAAAGGTCCAACTGGTGCTAAACATGGAGCACCGCACCCAGGCAGGCAGGATTGAATAAATAACAGTTCTGTCACACATCCTGCAGCATCTTCGATAAAAGCTGTGGAACTCCTCGTTTGGTCGCCTTCCTTGAGTCCACTCCAAGAGAGCTCCTGGGCATGTTTTTAAATAAAGGATACCTGGGGTTTCTCCCAATACCAAGAACGCAAAGACCGTACTTGTGGTCTTGGCAAGATAACTTGCCTCCTGAGAATGCACCTGGGGTGCAACTGATGTATCCTTGATATTTGGAGCGGGGAAAAAAATGTCCTCTGACCTTGAGTATTAGATGTGGGTTCACGAGTACGGCCAGGTAGGCCTACTCCTACTGACCAACTCCATCCTCCACAATACTGATGTTTAAGCACCAGGACAGAATGAGCAGCTTGGGGAGGTTTTTTCATTTAGCTGTTGGTCTAATGTGAGGTTTAGAAGGTTGTGGATCAACCTAAAATGATTAATTCTGTGATTTTAGACCCATTCCTTTTCTCAGAGAGGGTTTTAGTCTCTTACTCCAGACAGAAGGGCTGGTAAGACATTCTGAGGTCCTCAAAGAAGCATCTCAGGCAGTTTGTTTTTGTCTGCTTAGCACCACAGAACGCAAGCTGAAGGTTGATCAAGCTTCATTAGAATCCCACATCAAAGTGAAGTGTCATTCCCTTTCCTGGCCCTCGGACAATGGTGAACAGTGAGAGGAATTACACCTTGTCAGATGTTATTTTTTTTTGTTTAACCCAACAGGAGCCAATAAAGTGACAGATGATAATTGACTTAAACCAATCAGGGACTGAGTATGCAAACCCTGTTCGGATTCTTCCAGTGTCTCACTAGAGCACTATGGGTTAGGTGAAGCCTGCTTTAAACAGCCATTTACACATGCAGTTGCATCAGAAAAAAATGCAGCAAGGTGGGGGCATGAGTCAGGGTGGGGGGGGCTGTGCTTATTCATTCCTGTCCCTAAACACTAAAACTTTAGATAGAATTTGCTTTCTGTTTCATTAATATTAATGAAGGCACCTTCCGTGCTAATTATTAAACAACTGGGCTCTGATTAAGGCACACGGCATGACAGCAGGAAGCCTTGAAATACATGACAATTTAAATTAGTTTTTTTTTTTTTAAGGCTGAAACCACAAACACACACAGTAAACAAACAGTATATTCTTGTGCCACAAAATGATCCCCCAATGTCACATCATTGTCAAAAGTGATTGGTTGGCCAGCAGGTGCCCACTCAACCTGCAGGGGGCGCTCATAAAGCAAGCAGCGCCGAACCGAACGTCTGCATGTCCACATCGGCAGTGCTTATGGCCCGTGCAGCTGTCTGGACCCATACTGGGACTTAACCGATCATTTCATGTCCTCCTTCTACCTTCCTCCTTGTCATTTTGCACGGGTGGGTCACCTAACACCTGGCAAGGGACACCCTGGACAGAATGTTGGGGACCTGCTGCTTCATAGGATAGGCTCATCTAGGTGAGGGGGGACAGCTGTTCTACATACTTAAAAAACAAAAAAAAAATTAGCAAAAAGAGAACATGAAACAACAACGGCCCCCAGAGTCAAAGAAATATGAGGAACGAAAGCAAAGAGGAACAGAACAAGGAGACACAAAAAGGGGCAAGGATTCCACCTCTGATACGATTCAGGTCAGCCCTCTCTCAAAGGTACAACAGCATCACCCGCCTGCAATGTGAACCGGGCCCTCGTCCTGAGCCGCTATGCTAACAGGTGTCCACGAGAGCCTGTGTACTTCAGGCAGAAATGATTAAGGCGAGGCAGCACAGACACGATCCGGATCCATCTCAGACAGGAACACGGCCCGTGAATTTACAGAGGGAGAGAGGCAGAGTTTGGGTGGAGGCGTCCCCCCCCCCCCGGACCATGAGCAGTCATTAGCTATGCTAATGAGAGACAGCCGCCATGACCGCCAGACAGTGTCCAGCCCCGAAAAATCCATCCCCGCTCTGCCTTCAATCACCACACTTATCAGGCCGACAGCAGCGATGCCTCATTTCGATACTGCAGGAAATGGATCTCCTCCGACCTCCGGGAGCGGGAACCAGGCTCCGGCTCAGACGCTCTGGACAGGCTGAATGATGGCTTGGGGCTGAGGTGTTTGCACCCCCCCCCCATCCCCCAAGGTGTGTGGTGAGGGACAGACACACAGACACCCCTGGGAGGGGTGGGTGAGACAGATGGAGGCGGTGCTTACCGATCCACCTCATGACAGAGGTGAGAATCTGCAGGTACTTGGTCTTCTGAGCATTGAAGAATGCAAAGGGGCCCAGTAGAAGGGTAAAGACAGCCTGGGGGGGTAGAGAGAGAGAGCGATTCAATTAGACGCCCAATCGGATTGAGCCGCCACACGCAGAAGAAGCCAGTCAGCGTTCCCACCTGATGTGTAAACGTTTGACTGATTTGCAGCTATGAGGGGGTGCGAGTCGACGAGATTCAGGCGTGCACAACGTGAAGAATGTAGCGTGCCGAGAAGGCAGCAATCATTCACGGCGCGACATCACGAGGTGAGCTGTGCATCTACACGGGGGACGGAGACATGACAAAGAGGACGGCCCGCGACGGGACGGAGATTCCCTGAGCAGCCGCGCAGCGTCCATTAGGCCTTGGGTTCTGGGCTATAAACAGAAAGCTGTCGATACATCTCCATTTACCGCGATTCCCTTGGCCGGCTGGCCGGGGCTGGGGGGGGGATAGATATGGCCAATTGAGAGCCGGCTGTCACGGTGCTCGTACTCACAGTCACGCACCCCAGAGCCTGAAGGAGCTGAACCAGTATGAAAATCAATAAATTAAATTTACCCATTTACCCACCCGGGGGGGTGGGGGAGGAGGGACGAGGCACAATCAGAGAATGGAGCCTCTTCATCTCAGACATGATAAATTCACAATGACAGGGGCGGAGTGACTCTGCTGTCCGGACCACTGCACGGGGCCGGTATCCACTCTGTGCGTCACACAGACGCGTCACTAAAACATTTCCCCAGGTTTCACACCTGAGGACTCAGTGACCCAGGGCATCCTATGAGTCGACAGCACAGCTGTCAGAAGGTGGGATTTATGCACCAGGCCAGAGATTGGTCAGCCTCAGCGCTGGGGCTGACAGCCACTGGGAACTGCGGCAGGACTCCTGGGTGACAGAGGCCGTCCTCCTGCATATGTACTTTGATTTGAGGTACTTCTCCCAAATATTCAGAAGTTCAGTGTGGGACCAACCACTCAGTAAATCAAGCTGTGCAAGCATCTGAGGACATCTGCTTGGTGAACACAGGCACCTGGGTCAAGAGATTAAGGTGCGGTGGTCTCAGGTCAGGGTACCAATTTGGAACCTGGTGGGGAACATTCCTCAGATCTTATGGACTGGAAAGGAGCCAGACTGAGAACGTTCAGACTCGGGGTAGAAGGAAAAAAAAATAGAAATTGATCAAACTGAATAAACGCAGAGTGGCAACACACCCGACTGTCTCCATAGAAGCAGCAGACAATTGGGGAGAGCAGCCCAACAATCCGCAGTCTAACTACAGAGCGGCAAACTACTGTCTTGATCCTCCAGAACCAGACACCCAGCCTGCCACTGACCCCCCCGCTTCTCTGGACATAAAATATGTGGTGAACAAGTGTATGACGTCTCTTTAGAAACTATGTGGTAGACAGAATAAGCAGGAGATGAAAGGCCATCGATTAAAGCTCATCAGACCTTCTGTAATCTATGCAGACACGCCACGGGGAGCAGGGATTTATAGGCATCCGGAACCCCCTCCTCCCCTTTTGGGGCCATCTGTCACCCTTAAAGAGGAGTGACTCCTGGCGGAGTAAGAGAAGACCCGCATACCTACCAAACAGACCCTGTTTAGTGAGGCTGACGGCGGCTGCAGTATCTACGAGGCCTCAGAGTACGGGGCCACAGTCTGCTCGTTTTAACCTTCAATTCCACCCCCTACAGTCAGCCCCCCCCATCACGTATCGATCTTTGCGGCGGAGGTGTTAAGCGAAAGGTTTCGAAGACTGCAAGGTCACAAGCAGAGAAACAGACGCAGGACCACGGTAGCTTTCCCACTCCTCCCGCCTGGCAGGCATCTGTGCGCCGCGACCGGATTGGCTCTCGGCTCCCGCCAGCCATGAAGCCAGGGTGCGAGGCGGGGTCTGCCCAAAGCAGCCGATGTCAGTCACCTTCCCGATTTAGGAGACCCCGCTGATCCGAATCCGCATTGAGCTGCATATCCAGACGCTCGTTCGCCCGAGTTACCGGTGTAAATCGCACGCAGACGTCCCCTGCTGTCATCACAGACTGGCCCATCTGCCTGGCACGTACTTTACCCCTCGTACACATCCGGCCACTTCATTTGCAGCCAGGTTACCTTGCTAATCTGAGGTGTGGAAGTCTGTCTCCGTCAACAGCAGAAACACACACACACACACACACACACACACACACACACACACAAAAACCCTGAGCCCATCTCTCAGCTGGGGCCCAGACATCACCCACCACCCCACCAGCACAAACAGCCATAAAGCTTAATTAATCATGATTAACACCATAACAGGGATTAGCGGGCCGTAAGTGCCCCCTCTCTCCCACTCCTCGGAGTGTTTACCACGGACTCCCTGCCATGGTGCGAATGGGATGGGGTCCGCTGGGGATCCTGACCCGCACTCGGGGTGGACCTTCCAAAACGTCCCCACAGATGATTCGGCCCGGTCTCCGGCAGGGACTAAACGCAGTGTGGAGGAGCTCGTTAACCCTGCTGCGGACCAGCCTGGAAATCTGACACGGGGGAGAAGTTGTCCATCGCCTACAGGCTTCGCAGAGGGAGAGGCTACGGACGGGAATACAGCAGAAGTTGTCCATCGCCTACAGGCTTCGCAGAGGGAGAGGCTACGGACGGGAATACAGCAGAAGTTGTCCATCGCCTACAGGCTTCGCAGAGGGAGAGGCTACGGACGGGAATACAGCAGAAGTTGTCCATCGCCTACAGGCTTCGCAGAGGGAGAGGCTACGGACGGGAATACAGCACGCCCCATTCCACGCCTCCAGGTTCCTAAACACTTAGATTTATTTATATATAAATATATTTTCCTGTTTATGCTGCCGGCAGAATGTGTTCGTATCTCTGCGCTTCGTGTCCCTTTGCTGCTGAATTTCCCCTTGAGATAAATGAACTAATGGACTGACCTACCAGCCACCGCACAATGACATGAAGCCTGGAGCCCATCCCAGTAAGCAGGGGGCGCCCGGGATGGGATGCCAGCCCAGCGCCAGAAACGGGATTCAAACCACCAACCTTAGGTGTAACCCTATAGCGCAGGAACTAAGCCAGACACGACACACACCATTGTTCCTTAAATCCATGATGTTTAAGCACATGAAGCGTCACCAAATCTGCTCTGGCTGATGTTAAACCAGGTTAGAAGGGCCCGATAACACAGGAAGATGGTGGGTGTGGGTCACAGGACACCCCAATGGCCGAGATGAGATGTGGAGCAGTCAGTGGGGTGCGAACGTCCGCCGTGTGCCGGCAGGCCATCGGACAGCCTGGACACACGCGGCGCGACATCAGGGCCTGTGTTAGGAGCAGCTGTTTATCAAAAGCAAATTACATGGCTTAGGATTTTCACACTGCGTGTGGATATTAAGGTGGGGTTGGCGGGGGGTGAGACCCATGCAAACAGAGCCCCCCCCTTCCGCCGAACCATGGGAGGCCCATTATAAACCTCACTTTCTGTTCATCTCTGCTTCCCGCCTGACTCACGGTGCAGGCTTTTTGGAGCGAGGGGGAGGCACAGGAGGAAAAATTTACAACAACCTTCGAGCTGGGGGGGGAGGAGAGGGAAGGAATGAGAAGCCGCAGCCTCTCATAAACACGGAGCCCGATGGGACACGGCAGAAACGGACTGGAAATAGATCTCTGACAAACCCCACGCCCATGACAAGGCTCAGAGGATGAGGTTGAGCAAAGCCCTCGGGGGGGGCAAGGTAAAGGGAGACAAACAGCCCCCATTTAGCAGAACCTTGGGACAACCAGTCAGGATGAACTCACATCCCACAGAGACACGCACTAAAACCCACCTGACTACAGGAGCATGACCTGTGTTTTCACCTGGGGGGGGGCATCACAGCCACACACTCACACACACACACACACACACACACACACACACACACACACACTCATTACTGAAACGCAGCAACCTGAAAAGACAGCAAGATAACAGCGAACGTTTGCGTGTTGGTGTGTGCGAGGTCTATGGTGTGTTATAAGACCAGGACAGATGGCACCTGCAAAGGTAACCAGTCCTCATGGAGATACCTGCTGAGAGCTCAGGGGACACGGGGGCGCACGCACACACACACACACACGCGCACGCACACACACGCACGCACGCGCACACACGCACGCACGCACGCACGCGCACACACACACGCGCGCACACACACGCGCGCACACACACGCGCGCACACACACGCGCGCACACACACGCGCGCACACACACATTCCCTCCCTCAGAAATTCCCCATAGAGTAGCTGCCCCACAGAGAAGCTGCATCATCAACATGGGGGGGGGGGAGGTTAGTTCCAAATTTAAAGCCGACACGACAGGACGAATCAAATCGCTTTGGGATTTTTCTGCCCTGTACGCAGGTTCAGGTCCAGCTTCGGAGTCCTACAGGGCTGCAACCTGCACACCGTCATAACAGAGCGTCGACGCAGCTGTAGCTGAGCTGCTGACCAGATAAGTACAGTCGTGGGTCCTGGGCATTCGGGGACACCCAGAATGCAACGGTGGATTCAAAATGACGGCACACTGTTTCCAGCGTTCAACCGAAGAACGAAGCCTGACCAAAGATACACCTTCAGGACGTTCCCAAGGTCTCAATTCCTCGTTTGGTCCCTTCCGGTAGAGCTGCCTAACCACCAAAGCACATGACTGACGGCACCCTTGAGGAAAAGCGGCTTGAAGAAAGTCATGACTTATTCTAGGAAGACCTGGAGCCAAAAGGAAATTTAATAAAAGGTCCAGGAGGAAAAAAAAGGACAAAAATATACAGTCGAAGAGTTTTCAGTGCCAGCAGACGAGAGAAACCAATAAATGGGGGGAAAATGACTGACAAATAAGAATTGAATTTCAGTCACACGCACTTAATCTTTTGGGTGTGTCAAAACTAATAAGCAGAGAGGGCAAAGATCGCGCGATGTGGGGGGGGGGATCTCCGGGCCCTTTAACACGCCACTGTGGGGGGGGGGGGAACAGTCGCTCATCCCGACTCCCCCTGCTCCCACAAATAAACAAACAAGCCCGCAGGGCAAACAAAGGGAAATGTGGATTATATAAAAAAACAACATAATTCCACTTTGTTAAAAGGCCGCAGGAGGCTGACTGAAGGCAAGACGAGCAGAGACACAGCTGGCAGACAGTCACTGGCTGTCCTCTGCATTTAAAGGGACAGGCCGCGGGAAACAGCAGGTTCACCCCCCCACACAGACTCAAGGGCACCAAGGACATTCTGCTTAACAGAGGGACGTAAGAGTCCACGACAGACTCAGCGGGGTCCCCCCCCAAAAGTACGGACTGGTACATTCTGCCCAAATGAATGGTCGAGCATGGCTGTATTTACAGGCCAGCCCTGTACCAAGACTGTACCAAGTGGGATGGGGTGGGGGGGGGGGGTGCAATTGGTGGTGTTAGACTTGGAGGGTACAAAGTGTGGTTTAGGTCCTGACGGGAGGTAGCAGGGAAAGAAAAGGAGACTCAGAGGACTGGAGGGGGGTGTTCAGGGAACGGAACTCACCAGAAAGACACGGTACGCATCCTCCCTTCGCACGGGACCCCAGCACGCCTCCGTGTCGTTGTACTTCACAACGCCGGCGCTGCAAGACAGGTTTCCGCTGCGACAGGACACAGGAGGGCATCAGAAGGGCCTAGAACACGCTAAAGGGGTGTTGACCTGACCAACTGACCTTCTGCAGGCCGTGTAAAGTCACAATTACAGCAAAAACTATGATGAAGGATTGATTGCATTACTACAGTGGACAGAGCAGCTGCGAGCCGTGGGCGCAGCGCGACAAGGCGGAAGGACCACACTGCTCTTGGGACTCTGATATTTATACTATTTACTACCAAAAGTGGCGGGATTATCCACAGCAATAAAAACATGTCTGGGAGCCAGCAGACAAGGAGATCAGAGGGGTTAGGGAGCACCGTAAAGCCACTACTGCGGGCCCTAGGGGCGGAGGTGCAGACTGGGGTGGGGGTGTGGGGGGGGGAAGAAGCACGGCTCCGGCAGCTCACCAAGCGACCTCCATCAGGGAGATGGGCACGGCCGCAGCGTAGATGGCCAGGTCTCCGTACAGGTACACGATGATGCAGATATAGAACATGTTGACACCCACTGATCAGGAGACACACACACAGACAAACACATCAGAAGGGGGCCCCCTTTAGGCACAGGAGAGCACTGCGTTTTTATAAAGATCAACCATTTGCACAAGTTTGTGCCACACAGTGAAACCTTTCATTAGTATCATTCAACCACATCATTCAATCAAGCAGGAACTACGCGACTAGTCTTCTCTTTGGGACGGGCTGCCTGATCACATGGTTAGTTAAGGTACTGGACCCATCCCAGCACGCCAGTTGAACCCACTGAAAGTTTCAGCCCAATGTTGCCCTGACCCCATTTAGAACATCCCTTCCCAGGGATGGGGGAGGAACGTCACCGAGGTGATCTCCTGAAGGCTGATGGCACTGAGGTTCCCGGCCCCTGCTGCGTGAATCTCACAGTGGACCAGCACTCCATAAAAGGCACCAGCGGGTCACATGCTAACCCGTGTGGCCGCCGCCCGTCACAGCGATTAAACCGGGGCCTGAGCAGACACTGGACGACCCACATTCGCAGTTCCTGGTGCGGCTCGATGAGCGGCAGCCTTAACGAGCTTAATGACGCAGCGCAAGCCGTGTCCTCGCACCTGCCGAGGACGCGGTAGCTGTGCATCTCTATGCCATAGCAATTAGCCTCCCCCCAGGGGCTCCGTCGGTTGGAGCGGCCTCCCTCCGAGACAGGAGTGCACCTGCCATTACTCAGATGACCCGAGTCAGGGCTCCCCCCCTGGCCTGGGGTGGAACTACACTACCATTGCAGTAATTAATCTTGTGCCTGGAGTTCCCTGCAGGAGTGCTAGTTAAGAAATAAGGAACCAGTTACACTGCTCAGTAGTGAGGTCAACCGGGGCTGTAAAGGGCCTCAGATGGATCCATGATTCAGACAGAGAGAGTTGGTGAGTGACAGCCAGTGCTGTGAAGGAAGAGTGCAGCCTTCACCTCTACTCCTATACAGAGCTAGAGACCCGGGATATAAGGAGCTAGTCATTCCTGAATGGGGGGGGGGGGATGATGGGAAGCTCATTTACGAAAGGATGAGTAGAACAGACACCATCTGGGATGCAAGACGTACAACAGCACAAACTACAAACACACAAGCAAATGCCAAAGCTGGACATCGCAACAAGAGATTGGAAGCACAAAGCAAGAGCGCCACCTTGTGGAGACCAAAACACATGGACAAAAAAAACCCATCGGTCTTATTAAAATTAATACAGACATCTGCCACAACTGCTTCTGGGTAAAGCCAGCAGACAAACTGGGTCAGTATTTGTGTGCAGGCACAGGTGGGGGGGTGGGGAGGCGACGGCTGAAGCCCAGAAGCGAGAACAGTCCGTACCCAAAAGTGGGAAGTTATCGCATTTCTGGGTCAAGGGGAGCTGCTGTCAGCTATGATCTTTCTGGGGAAGTGAGTCGTTCCACGACTCAACAGGTCAAAACGCCGTTGGCAATACCAGCCCGAAACAGAGAAGTTAGCAGCTAAGGCAATTCAACACTTTAATGATTGGAGGGGCTTGAGTGGCGGGGGGAAGCTGACCCTGGTAGCCAATTACAAATGGATGTTGTCCATCAGCAGGGCCTCGAGGACCTCCAGATGGTCCTCCTACCCTTCAGTCAACCCCAGTGCAGAGTGATCGCTGCTGCCAACAGACACCACGGGGGGTTCAGACAGAGGTTCGACACAAGAATCCCATTACCGAGAGGCGCCAACGAGACACGGCTCTCCCACACGCACCAGACACGTCTACTTCCAGACACGTCTACGTCCAGACACACATCGGTGGTCAGAAGGTGGAACTCCACACTTACAGGGGTGAGGGCTTCTCCCGGGATTTAAAAGCAGGATAACCACGAATCCACGTCGTTACCGGCCCCCAGGGGGATGCTCACCTTTATTAAAGAACATGGAGGCCATCTGTCCCATTTCCACCCTCTCCAAAATGTCAAACTGGTCCACCGACGCGGACCTTTCTGCAAGTGCAGGGAAAGACGGTAGCCAATCAGGAGGAGCTGTGAGGGTCATGTGATCCTGTGTCACAGGTTCTCAGGTTTGCAAATGACTGGCCTTATCACACACGTTTATACTCACGGACTGAGAGAATGGGCCGGGTCTCCTGTGGTTCTGACCGGCCCCTGACCATCACGTCGTCGTCAGAATAGTCTGAAGTGGAATCACTGTCGGTGATCTTTTGGGGTGGGGGGGTAAAAATCAGGTCACCGAGTTCAGCTCTAGACATGACAACTGCCATTGTTTAATCTTCAGATTTACCTCATCTTACATATGATCTATCCAAAACAGGCTACGCTTCAGATTTACACCGATGAGCCCAAATATTATGACCAGCCTCACATGAGTTGAGTAATGTTGGGTCCCTCGTACAGAAGGTGTATGTCAAGGTCTGGGATATACTAGTCAGATGGTAAGCTAATAGTAGCTGCTCGCGGTGGACTGTGTAGCCACCAATCAAACTTGTTGGTCAAACTCATCCCACAGTTGCTTGACACAGAGCTGTCCACATGATGCAACAGAAAACGGGATGAACCAGGCGATCTCCTTCCAGTGCTCCAAGGGTAACACACCCGATGCAGATAAGTATTGCAGCTAGCTATTCTGACGCTAAGTTGGCTCTAGTACTGAAATGCTACCAAGCGGCCTGATTATCTGTATCAGATGTGTTAACTTAAGGCACCTAAGTTCTGCAGGGTTGCAAACCTCCAGAAGTAGGGTTTGGTGACCACTGTCGTAGACCTTGATATGCACCATTTTTATGAGATCACCAATATTCACTTCACATGGGGGTGGTTATAATGTTTTGGCTCAACGGTGTATACATCCCATAATCAATACACAACTGGCAAAAAGCAGGCAGGAGGACCAGTATGTATGAAGTGAAAAGATCTACAGGTTTCAGTCACAGTTCAGGCCCAATCTGTGCAAAAAGAAGCCTAAATCCACGGTAAGAAAACTAACACGACCGATCAGAACATACGGAACTTGCTGCTAAGTTGAGGGTGCCCTTCAGGGGACTGTCTGACAGGGAAGACAAATTCCCAATGACCTCCAGTAACTTCCCATCCACCAAAGCAGACAATTCATCTCAGAAGCCGACAGCAGTCGATTTAACAGCCACGGAAATGTCTGACTCTTCCGAGTAATTTACAATTAAGGAAACTTCGCCTCCTCTAGGTCAGTAAGAAGAGAAGTTTCCTCTGCACCTGAAATATTGTTATCACTGTAAACCCTTCAAGAGATTCACTGCTCACTTTCCACAGCAATAGATATTCTAAAATTGGACAATATATCACTGGCTTCAAATGAGTTCAATTTGCAAAGCCACTGATCTGTATCATGCAAGGGGAAATTAATTTACGATTTTTTCCAAGTAAATATTCCCACCAGAGCTCTCTTACGCACTCATACTACCTATCTGAGGAGGTTCATATATCAAAGGTGCAAATTGGGACACTAGGAATAGCTCCCACAGAAGCAGAAGTGTAATTAACTTGGAGTTTCATGGCTAAAAACTAAATGACTTATTAAAAACCCAACAACATGCCTAAATGGTTTTTCTGCCAGAGATGACACTCCAACCCCTCCTTCAGGGACTCCCTTCAGCAGCACATCCAGCAGGGTGGAGGGCGGCCTAAGCTCCGTTTGCAGGCTTCCAAACACTCTAAGGAGGGAGCCATTTACCCGCCATAGCGGCAGCGCCTCAGCATACTTGGCCGGTGTGGGAAACAGGAAGTGCTCACCTCTTCTTGCTCCCGCCTCTTCCAGCGCAGGTGAGCGTTGGCGGAAGCCATGGCCTCAATGACAAAGGTGGTGGTCATGTAGCTACGAGGACAGAGGAACATGCTGCCTTCAACCACCATGGTAACCCGGCCAAACCGCCACTGCACTATGCATCCAAGGATGCTCTACCTGATTTCTACATTATAATGAAAATGTATCCCTAAATAAATGGATAATTAGAAAAGTTCACATTCAATTCAAATACAATTAAATATACTATTATTTCAACTTAGATTTTAACCAAAAAATGAGAGAAAATAAGTGCGCAAAACCTAAACCACTACCGCGTCACAGTCCCATACTACAGGACACGAACAACTTGCTGAGCAAAACGGCTCAACACTGACACCTGGTGGCTAAACAAGTGAACTAAAGACATAAACACCTCAGGAAAACAAAGACCCCTGGATAAGAGATTTAAATTACACCGTAATGCATAATTCACTAAACAGGGCAAGCAGGAGGTACTGCGTTTAAGAAAAAGCCCTCGTGGCTCAAAGAACATTAGCGGGAAAAGCTACTTCTGCATTTAAGCAGAAGCAAGAAGAATCATTAACAGTCAATCATTAACTGGCCATTAGTGTTTATACACGCGGACTTATTTAAAAACCCAGTGACTGTGTCAGCTGGGCCACAACAGCTATAAAGCCTTACCTCATAAACGCTAGGAAGCAGATGAGAGTCAGGCTCACTACCCAGCCGGCCGTGGCAAAGGCCTTGGGCATAGTTAGGGCCCCAGTACCTACGATCAGATTGAACATGTACACCATGCCCACCTGCACGGGGGGGGGGGGGGAATGATCAGGACCCAAGTACAGGGAATATGTTGTGGTGTAATACGTCACAGTAAAGAAAAATTACAAAGCAACATTATATACAGTAGTAACATTTCCTAAGAGAAACAACGATTTCTTGAAAGCTTGAAAAAGTGTTTGGATCCAAAATCCAGTATGCTAAACACGAGACTATTTTGCATGCTATCCTACAGGAGCGTGTCCATTACCGATATTTCCCCATAATGACCGGAACACTGTAAGTCGAAACCTTATCAGAGCCCAGACACTCAAACCCAGCCAGCAAAGTAACATTACACATCCCAGAGATAATAATTAATGCCGTCGTCAGCAACTGCAGTTGCGAGCGGCTAACGATTCAGCAAACTCTGCAAAAACTAAACCCATCTTATATGAAATATCCGCCTCAGTCACACGTTATTTCCTTTTTCTGAGATAACTCAATTTACAGCACGCATGAAAGGATCTCCCCATATTAAGTGGCAGAGCTTTAAAGGGCACGTTTAAAGGAGGAGCTGATGAACACGTTATGGAAAAATGTGAATATTTAGTTCTACACATAACTGAGGAAAGTAGGAACAGTAATAAACCTGGTGAACTTACATAAGGAGAATACGGCTCCCCAGTCTCCGTGATGCCACCGGCCATGGCTGGCAGTTACCACGGTCGCAGAAAGGCAGTCAAAACCTAAAAGGAGTAAAATCACACAGAATTCATGGTAGTAACAGTAACGTTATATGTCAAGGGAGTTCACAACGCGGGTAGCAAGCAGGCACATGAGAGAGAGCACATGGACCGAATTCAGGCTGTAAAAAGTTACCACAGGAATCACGCCAAGAGTTGGAAACGATGAGCGGGTACACAGCTTTGAAGCTCATTCGCGTGAAACAAAGCTGATATGTCAACATTACAGTAGCAGAGGTACACCGCCGCTAACAAACCCCAAAGCCCTGCTCAGCTTCCCAGCGCGGCAGCGCCTATTTTCAGCTTCTGATCAGATAGAGATCACGTTAGTCTGGAAAAACATCACACGCCTCACCTATTCCTCCGTGCGCTGTGGGCAAACTGCAGTTCAGCTAGCAAGCTAACACAGCTACCTCAAGATATTAGCCAGCCGAAACCTAATTTCTACATCATCCCAGCAGCTTCAACCAAAAAAAGCGACTCAAGCTGCAAAGCTGAGGAAAACTGCCGCTTGCGTCGCTTCCTCCCGCGGCCTGAATCACTGTAGCACCTCCAGCAGCCGCATTACCTACGTTCGGTTCAACTGAGGCAGCGAGCGAAGTTCAGCGCGCATGCGCCAAGGCGCGTGTCATGGGACTGGGACTGGGAATGGTACGCGGCTGCGGCTGCGCATACGCGCCGTCAGAAAGCGCGCCGGCGACATCTCTGTACCTGTCATCGCGTTGGTAGGAGGTTCCTAACCTTTCGGCCAGCCTACAATGTACGCTGCTTTCCTTAATTAGACTCGCCAGAGCTGGTGATTTACGGGTCGGAGGGACTTAAATCTAAATAAAAGTAAAACCACTTTCAGCTTGGCATTCTGTGAATGAAATGATGTTACATTTATGTAATGCATAAGGAAAGTTAACAGCAGTTTTATATTGCATTTCAATACTTTTTTGAAGTTGCATATGGTTGTAAAATTAGTGTAACGTGATTTCAATCTCGCAATCTAGTCAATCTACAAAATAAGTTAATACTTTATCAATGCCTCTCAAGTGAATTAAAAAAAATACTGATTCTGAAAGCATTTATTACCCAAAGTCCAGTTGAAAAAAACTAACCCAGTTTATCCCAATTCAAAAGAATAAAATTTACAAAATAATAATAAAATAATAAAAGTAACCTTCAGTGATGCTTAGCTTTTGATGAACTAGATTATTGACATTAGGAATACAACACATCCAGAGAAAGCTTAAATACACACTGCTGCACAATGAATCCTAGAGCCCCTTTGTCAACCTCCATCCTGCTGAACTTAAGAAACAACATTATGTTCATATAGTGCAGAGATTACAAAAAATGAGAAATATCAGGGATGACCTACATCTAATAGTTCTTTTAAAAAAAAAAAAAAAAAATCTGCTTTCTCAAGGAAAGCCTAGTATTCCAGGTCACTTTGGCAAATGTTCCTTAAATGGTCATCTAAGCACCGAACTCTCATTGGGCCTGACTGGCAATCGGATGACAAAGTGTCAGTGTGAAGTATCAGTTGGCAGCTGGAAGTCCTTGAAGCAGTAAAAGGAGATGTCTCCATGGTCCACCACTGCAAAGGTCACCGGCACATCCCCACTCTGGAAAGCCAGCTGTTTCAGCACCCGCAGGTCAGGCACAGGGCCTTCAAAACTGGGGGGAAAACCAAGGAAGCAGTAAGTCACATGACTGGGGTCATCATGGGAAGTCACATGACTGGGGTCATCATAGGAAATGGAGAAGCAAAACCATGCACTTCAGCCATTCCTTCCAGCAGGCCTTCAACAGGCACCAGTCGGTCAGGCGGGAGCGAGCGGTCCAGGCCACGTAGCCAGGCCTACCTGCACACACACAGACGGGAGTAAGGCTTCCCCGGGCTCGACTTCTTAAACTCTGCCACAGTGTCAGGCTGAAAGACATCGAAGCTGATCTTCCACCCCTCAGAGTCTTCTAATCTGCAAAGAGAGGCATCAAATGTAAAACTAATTATTTCCATTTAAATACTGCACTTTTTTAAAAGACAGGAACAGCCAGGCCAGCTATTGATCACATGGGACACAGCAGGACCCAAAGGGACCCAAAGGGGCCAAGGCAGCGGTTACAGGGCAAAAGGCCAATACAGTCTCTCCTCCAGACTGGCCAGTTTGACACGCTTGGTTTTGGTTATGTGAAAGTTGGACATGAACAATTCAATGTGAATATTTCTGGAGCTTGTTGAAAGACAGCAGACACTCGCAGATAACATATAAGCTAATATATATGCAATACAAATTATTTTGATCACATAAAATAATATTATAAATATTAGTTTTATTTAATATTTGTTAGTGTAAGTACATACTGTCCCGTTAATGTTAAAGCCATGCATCTTCGTCTCAGCAGCTGTCTTTGTGACCGAGAATCTCGCATAAGCTTTTCAGTGCCTTTAATTTAGCATTTTTGATAAAGAGTCCAAGTACTATTCTTGAATTTTCACATTATTGGGGATCTTCCCAGCCTGACCCCCCGTGAATGTGACTCAGCCCGACCCCCCGTGAATGTGACTCAGAAAGCTGATTTGGCACAGACACCACTTCTACACATACCCAGCCGCACCATCCAGCAGACGGGAAGCTCCGACGACGCCAATCTTATCCAGGACGTCCCCTGCACACAGCAGAGAGGGGAAAGGAAGCAGGTTTTGATCGGCATCTAAGCTGATCATGTTCTCACTCCATTCCACAGCGGTTAAGGTGAAATGTCAGGATGGGGACAGCAGCTGTGTGATACAGCCACACCTGGGACGTACCTGCCGTGGTGTGCTGTCCTGGCTGGAGAAGGGGCGTGACCTTTCCCTCCCACAGATGTTCCGGCCTATTGCGGCGGCCGTGGCGGTTCCGCCTCCTCCTCCGCAGCTCGTGGTACTCTGCCCAGCTCCGGCAGTGCCGCACCTCCCTGTCGTCGTTGACGTCGCGGCGGTACCGGCTTCTCTCCCGCTCTCTCTCCCGTCGTGACAGGCGCTCTGGCCGCAGGTTCAGCCTCCGCAGCCAGGGCTCCATGGCGCAGACGCCCACTGAGAGCCGCCCGGGCAGCAGGGATGGGTCAGGGGCGGCCAGGGCAGGCTGGCATCTGTGGGCGCCCAGGTCGGGGAGCGTGATGGTTTCCCAGACCCAGCCGCGGTGTCGGGGTCGCGTTGGGCTCTGCGGGAGATCCGCTCCCCCCTCCACCCACCATCTCCTCTCGGGGACCCCGCTGGGGACGGGGACGTCTTCCACCATTCTTTCTGCCTCTGGCTCGGATAAGCCCGCTGCCCCGTCCTCTGGATTGGCCCTCTGGCTCTTGGTCTCACCACCACGCATCTCTAGGGATTCTCCCGCAACTCCTCCCTGTCCATCAGGCAGCCTAGCCAATCAGGCAGCAGGTCAGTGAAATAGGCCCCTCCCCTAGGCTTATGTGTTCATTACTCAAGAAAATTCAAACTTGTCACAGAAAGTTCAGGTCCAGAAAGTAGAAATCCAGAAAAAGGTTTTGTTTCAACCAACCAGTTGAGTATAAAGTCACAGTCATAGAGTATTCAGCTGGTTGGTTGAAACAAAACCTTGGTCCGGATTTTTACTTTCTGGACCTGAACTATCCACCTCTGTCTGTAATGGATTACTTCTGTAACTTTCCCAACACTGATATGGTTTGCAAAAAACATGCTATTTATCAAAGTTAATGTATAAATATGGAAATATATGCAGTTGCATCATAAATATGGATTCCTATTACAACCCTGTCAATCTAATACAAAGAGTTCAGTACAGTGCACAGAAACGCCGTCTTCTGCACGAGGCCTCAACTCACTGGGATGAGGGGCTCCGGCTGCGTTTCCGTTTGAGCTGCCTTCCATGGCCGTCTCGCTCTGGGGGAAGGTTCAGCTGTCTCTCATAGTGAGATGGGACGGTGCTGTTTACACACACACACACACACACACACACACACACACACACACATTGGGCCAGGTCGACAATATTTTAAACATCAGTATCGGAATACTTTTATTATCTCGGTGGAAACTGTAATTACAAACTGCACAGTGCACAGCTACACGAAAACATATATAAAAAAAATATATATATAAAGAAATAAGCATAATTTATGGAGATAAATATATGAAAAAGTGAGTGAATATACGTGCAATACTGCGGTGAAACAAACATTTCACGAGTAAAATATTGCAAGAAAAAATATTAATAAATAGATAAAAATAGGTAGTGTTGTACATGACATGACACGTCTCAGATCTGGTGCTCCCAATAAATAAACTCCCATCTGGAATCAGTCATAATTCAGAGAATAAATGGTATTATGCATGTCTATGAAGTGCACTGACAGCCTTCGCTTAGGTGCCCACGTATTACCTGCGGTCGAATCTGCTCACCACATAGCCCAGCCTTTTCAGATGGCTAAACACCTTCAGGGAAGAGACAGCGGCTTTATGCGGCACGAGTCTGAGTGGGAGAGCACCTCTGCACTCACGTCTCTCAGCTGCATGTCTCACCTGGTATTGCTGCAAATTCACGGTGTCTTTGGAGAGAAACATTTCGTACCCTTCCTGTATGGACAGAGGCAGATCATGGAGGAACACCTGGACGCTGCCCTGGACCACAGAAAGCAAGAGAGAACCATGATGACATGAATTTTATTCTTAAACTGGCACAATCAGAGCTTGTATTGGGTACCAGAGGTGAGTTGTTCAAGTCCAGAAAGTAAAAATCCAGACCAAGATTTTCTTTCAACCAACCAGTTGAGCATAATGAGTCAGTCACAGATACTCAACTGGTTGATTGAGACAAAATCCTGGTCTGGATTTTTACTTTCTACCTCTGTTGTGTACAGAACACATATGAACAAGGGGGGGGGGGCAGGGCATAAGGGGACCATAAAGTCATATCTACTTGACTGTTTGCATTTGAAAAATGCACAGGTCCACCCCGCATCCAGGTCCTGGTACAGGTATGGGTACGGGTACGGGTACAGGCACCCCCCGATCCAGGTACAGGTATGGGCACAGGTCCACCCCGCATCCAGGTCCTGGTACGGGTACGGGTACAGGCACCCCCCGATCCAGGTACAGGTATGGGCACAGGTCCATGTCCAAATCCGGGTCCCCCCCCAGATATGGGTATGGGTAACGATCCAGGTACAGGTATGGGACCCCCCTGGCTCCATGGCTCCATGTACAGATACGGGTCTCTATACCCCCTCAGTTCCAGGAACACGTAGGGCACGGGTTCCCTCCTGGATCTGCGTTCCACGTTGCTGGGTTCTAATCCAAGCAGTTTTCTAAGTTACTCACACATTCCATGAGGTAAAGGGCCTCTTCGGGGAGCAGAAGCTGCTTCCCGTGTTCAGAGAATCCCATGGTTTGCCAAAACTTTCCCTGCAAATAGGACAGGAATCACATAAAAGCAAAGATATCTCAGCATTACTCACTGCAGTAAATGGCTGTGACTTTTTAACTCAAACTAGAGCCAGAATCAATCAGTACTTCACTTTATGCAATATTCAAAACTTTCATTATTACTGTTACATGTAAACAGCAATCTTTATAACATAAATTGTTTAAAATATAAATTATGTTGATCGTCCAGCTGTGATATTACAGGCCAATACAAACAAGGTAAGACAGTACTTTTTATAGTTATGGAGGGAAATCCCGGATAGTTTTCAAAAGGAGTTGCAAATTGCATTTTCCATATGTGGACGCATAAAGTGTGACATAATTCAAACGCAATTACAAATTTTGCATGACCGTTTGCTTTTCCGCTTTCGCGAACGAACACTGACTGCCACATTTCAAATGAAAAAGCAAAGTCCATTTGCAATTGTATTTCCCATGTCTTACAAGGGTCAGGGATGGGTCTATACTGTGGGGCGTGATTGTATGGGGGGTGACGTCACTCGCAGTCGACGACCAAGAGGGGTGTGGAAGTAAGTTAATGACAAAAGTCGTTGATGAAAAAAACGTTGAATTACACTTATCGAATAATCCAAAATTAAGTTCCAAAACATACGTATTTTAAAGTGCATGTTTATAATTCAACCACATGAATTCAGTTAATTTAATTTAGCCTCAAAATAAATTTCAAAAGAACAAATTCAGTTGAATATCTTCCATGTCTTTTATTCAAGCAGTAACATTCAGTCCTCTTATTTCTGCTTTACAATATTGTCCCGTTATTTTCGCTGTTTCAAATACGCTGCCACAATTTCAGTGGTTTAAAATACGGTCCGAAATTCAACCCTCTACATCGGGGACTAGCAGGATGAGCGATAGACTGCCGATAGAGTTCTCTTCGATATAGTTATCTACGATAACTTATTGCGCCCCCCAACTAATAGGTTTTTATGTAAGTAATTCGCTAGCTGCATTAATTATCACCAAACTTATCTTGCTAACGTAAGATGCAGTCATCAAGCTAAGGCTAAAATATTTATCCAGTGGATATTAAAGGTAAACACTGAATGAGTCACCAGTCTGCACTTCAGTGAGTTTTTGTTCTGGTTTGACTGGTTGAGCCAATGTCACAGCAGAATGGAAAAGATCATTATGTAATGGAAACACACACAGACACAAAGACACACACACAAAGACACACACACACAGACACAAAGACACACACACACACAAAAACACAAGTGAAAGATCCCAAGCCACTGAAATGACAGAATTATATATAAAAAAGGCTTTTTAACATGTTGCTGGAGGCCCATTTGCATAAATCGCACATCATACCTTTACCCAAGTGGACAGTTGGGCTGCACCACATATTATACTGCATGGAATGGAAATGTATTGCTAGCTATCACAATTATTTTCCTGTTGATTGAATTTATCATCGCATAATATGACCCCCTCCCCTCACATCCTCATTGACTTCTCTTTAATATTCCCTGAACGCCTCCAGTAAGGATGTCAGTATGGCGGTCTGACACAAGCACAAGGGTCAGAAGGAGGACTTACCGCTGGTGACTTCAACACCACCACATTCTTGCTGGGAATCCATTCACCCTTGACCAGGGCTCCTCTGTACACAAAACCAAAACAATGTCTCCCTCACCCAACACAACCACAAAGGTGTCTGATGTCAAGCATGTCATCACTGTATCAAAAAATGCATGTGGTGCAGTGATGTCATCATGAGGGAAGGATCCCCCGCCAACCAGGCTACTCACAGCCTCTCCACACGCTCCTCTGAGATGAGGCTCCAGTGCTCCTCCAGGCTCTGCTGCAGCCTCTCGCGCTGGCGCGCGGACCCGTCCGGCAGGAACTCCTTCTGGCCGCGCGCCGGTATCTTGTGGCTCCGTGAGCGCGCGGCGAACAGCTCGGAGGGGCTGCATTAAAAGGAGAATGATCAGCATGGACCATCTTCAGCGCACCGACTACAGAATTCGATCAAGGGACATCACTTCTGTTAGTGAATAGAGGAAAGCATACCAGAGGATGAAAAAGATTTCTTAAGTCGGTTAAGAAAGGATGGGAAAAATCAAGGTAGTTAAGAAAAGATGAAAAATATTTCTGAAGAAAGTTCGTCAGATAGTTAAGTGAGCGGAGCATCTAGCAAACAGCATGTAGTAAAGATGTATTCACTACGCCATGTGCACTAGCGCTGTAAACACTTCCCAGTTCAGTACCGTATTATTGTGACAGACATCATAGTGATAAACCCGCTAACAGAAAACCTTAGCTGTTATATGAAACAGCTTTACCCAAGTAAATTAAACTTCAGCTGTTAACATACTGGTATTTCTGAATGTCGGCGTACGTTCCGTCACTTAACTGTGATTAAAGCATCTTTTATTAAGGAGAATAGAGAATCACGTAAAAGACGCAAACAGTTAACTTGTGAGTCGGGATATTAGAAATGAAATGTAAATTATTACTTTACCTGAGTAATTCACTGTAAAAATTGTCCGAAGAGCAGGAAACAGATGTATTGGATTCCGCCATCTTTAAAAGTGTAAAGATGTGCTCCGTCTTCGGGGTCCTAGAGCCTCCGCATTACGGCCACGCCGCTTGTCGTATTCAACAGGTCCAAGCAAAGACATTCGGATACAGTACATTCGTACTGCAGGTGCTGATTATTGATCCGGGCAACATGCCAGTGGAAAACAACTAGACTCCGAGTGGAAATCGAAATCAGTGACAACATGCAAGAATCGTGTATTAATAACACGACGAATTACCTTTCATAGCGAAGAATGCACAATTGCTTTTTTAGTTGTGTTTTATCATTATAACCAGTTTAGGAGAAGGGGTTACAGCACAAAGTGTACTGTACTGTTACGTTTTCCATGACAGTGTCACGCACGTACAGGCAGTGTCTCGTGACTAAACAGGTGTTCTGTCATAAAATACTACCTATCGAGACGTGCTATCGAGCCTTTCTGCGCATGGGCAGTTCCACCGTTTTGGGATTAGGGTTAGGTTTTAGGGGTTAGGGTTACGGTTAAGGTAAGGGTTTTAGGGGTTTTGGGGGGTTAGGGTTAGGGTAAGAGTTAGGGTTAGGGCTATCGATTAGCACTACGGTAGCATTTTTCGACAAGGCAGCATATATCGACAGAACACCGGAACTGTCATGGGACAGCGCAGAACTGTACTGTTACGTCTGGCATGCACGTATTGGCAGTGTCTCGTAGTGCAGTCTGACTTGGCGGATTATCCCGTTGCAGCACGTTGAGTGCCACTGAAGGTATAAACAAACCAATATTCAATCATTAGCAATTTAAGTGTCAGTGGGAGTTCTCTTAATCATCACTTTGTAGTATTTATTAGGCTATATTAATGGAAACATAATACGTGGGAAGATGTGAACGTGATTCCTACTGTTACTTAATGACAAAACAAAGAAGTTATGGCAATAAAATGGTATTGTTTTTCATCCAAAGACGCTACCCCTAGTGGTACATGCCAGTTACTTCAGATTATCACGCTGCAGGGGAAATACGATGGCTGGAAGTGCGCTCATAATCCAACGCTTTGTATAAGCGTATTTTTCACATCACTGTAAGCATTACACTGCTGATAAAACGTGAATGCAATATCTACCATTCATTAATAAAAAACGATTGAAAACCTGATGTGTAACGAATGCTATCATAGCTATTCCAAAGACGCTACCCCTAGTGGCACATGCCAGTTACTTCAGATTTTCACGGTACGGGGGGCCGTGCAGAGACGTTTAAAGGGGCGGGTGCTCAAAGTTAAAAAAGATAGAACAGGCTGAATAACAACAACTCACATTCATGACGAATCTAATATGGAAGTATGTGGATATCCATATTAGATCGTTTTTAGTGAAATAAAAGCCCTCCAGAAAAGAAGGGAAAAGTCCTGTAACTTACTTTAAAACAAAACATGTTCCCTAAAACGGTGGACAGAGCTACAGACCCCCTTGTAACACCCTTACCCAGTTAGCTAGCAGTTAATGACCACCACTACTTGTGCAGTTCATAAAAGGACAGGTAATGTTTGTCGCGCTGTTGCACAAACAGCACGCTCATTTATTTCAATTCATTTGTTGTTATAGACTATAGTGTGCGCTGTACACCCTATTTACTGTTTTGTTGCAGTCTGCACCTTCCAATTCATTTGCCTGCTTCCCCTCCAGCTCCGCACCACCCAGCCTGCAGAAAATGCGCGTGCACTTTGCGAGCTCGTACCCGGCTCGTAACGAGCGCGCTCTGCCCTCAAGGCCGAGCATTGGTTAATGGCACTCATGTGACTGATGCAAGCCAGATCCTTTTATTTAGCAAAATTGAGATTAATAGTTACATTTTATTGTTGAGGGGCAAAGACAGGGCTCCATACGCACATAAACATTAAAAAAAAACAAAAAAAAAAAAACAACAACAACAAAAAACCCAAGGAAAGGGCACTTGAGGCATCCTGGAGGAAAGGGGCGGGTGCTCAAGTCCGCGTTTCCATTCGTTTCCCCAGACCTTTTACTCATTAAGCAGACATTTATGTCCGATGTGACATGCAATTCAGAGGGACAATAATGTCACAAACATGCCCTCCAGAACTTTCAATACAATCAACTAAAAATTAATAAACGCAATTAAGGGTAGCCCTTGGTGACCAGTTTAACGATAGGGTATCGATCTATTGAGGACATTCTAATACTATTTATGCTATTTCTAATATCCTGTAACTCATCCTACACAGTATGTACATCAGTACATATTAATGTGCTCATGTCCAAACAAGGTAACATTTATGATAAAACATATTGACAAATACATCAGAGCAACCTCTAAGAGCACATATGCAAAAGTGTCAAATCACTTTTTTTCCCCGCCGCCTGTACTTTATGTTTAGTTGACGCGGTTCTAGCGAGGTTAATTCTGAATGGCGAGGCTGGTTAACTTGGACGTAGCTCGTGATTCATGACCCGTGTTTTGATTCACTTCCATAACATAGACGAAAGTGAACGACAGAGGGCGCCCGTCTCGTGGCCGGTGCCGTGCAAGTGTAGGTTGTCGAATTTAAGTCCAAAGTCACCTGGACTACGCCCTAAAACCATTCCCTTCATGAGGTTCGCCGAGAGTAAGTTTATTTTGGTGATCAATGTCCAGAAAAAAGTAACAGTTATAATGCGTCTTAAATACATCTCTAAATTCTTCAGAACAATTGGTCGCGCCTCTAAGTTCATATGTGACCGTGAGGTTTGTTTTCTATAAGTGTACTGCTCTCTTCCGTCAGTGTACAGTTGCCTTTGTACTTAGAGAATGGCAGACAAAACACGTCATACGTAGTCAACGGTTGATCACTACCGCGCTGACTACTCAAGCAGCTTAAACTCATATGTATGCAAAAACACACTCCGATTACAATTTCCCAATAACTAGTAGCTCTTGTAGCGTTATTATTAGTATTATTAATATGATTAGTAGAGCACTACTATTACTTGGGAGCGATCCTTCTAAAGTTAAATAGATTTCCTCATTCCAGGAAGTAGCAAAATTATGACCGTGTATATAGCTAGATAAATAATAAAACAATAAGCCAGGAACACTGAAGAGAGCGCGACCATATCATATGCTCCTGACAATTGCATCACTATTACAGACTGGCATTTTGTCTAATAGCCAATGGAATGCCCGTGTGTAGAATCTCGCTTACTCGTCCAGCCAATCAGCTGGCGAGTTGGGCTTTGTTGTTGGTGATGACACTCAGCTATTTGTTGTTGCTCTAAAGACTGGAGGAGTGGAGCGTGTGTGTGTGAGACGGGGTTTGCGCCGCCTGGTCAGCAGAGCACGGAAATTCACTTTTGCCGTTTTGTTTCGCCGTTTGGTGAGTTCTGGCGGTGCGAACGGGAGTGATGTCGGTGAATATGGATGAACTCCGGCACCAGGTGATGATCAACCAGTTTGTTTTGACCGCTGGCTGCGCCGCCGACCAAGCGAAACAACTACTCCAAGCCGCGCACTGGCAGTTCGAGGTGTGTGTATGCATGTGTGTGTAAGAGAGAGAGAAAGAGAAAGAGATGTTAAAATGATTGTTTTGGAGACCATGTGTTAACATATGTTAATCTTTTGTTAAAACTTCAGGAATTCTGAGTCTTCCCCTTGGGCTTATGGTTCATACTGACTGTTAAACCCATTCCGGGTACGATAACAATCAGAGAGATCCAGCACTGCGACTCGATCCAGCAGCCCAGTTATCCGGAATGTCGTTTCGCCGGCTGCTTTCTCGGTCTTTGTTGTACCACCACATGCGTTACAGTTGTGCATTTTCGTCACACGTGGCCATGTGTGTATTGTTTTTCCCCCTGTACATTCGATGCCCGTATTCATCCGGAAAACGATTCGGGTAGCTGTGTGGGGAAATATTGCGTGGGTAGACTAAACGGTGTTAAAACATAACCAGTTCTCCTTTTTATGACCTCAGATTTCATAATCATACTCACAACGTGGGGATCCGAGCGCGTTGAAGGTTCAAAATCGTAAGAAATTATTATGATAATTTATAAGCTACTTATGAAACTGGAGTGTGCTGAATGTCATTGCGGATTTCAGCGTTTACGTTTACATTATGACCATTTTTTTTCGTACTGCAGTGATTGTTTTTCATTAAACAGTATTTAATATCGACGTAAGAGGTTTCTTTTATTAAAATGAAAACAGATCACGCGAATTACTGCAAAGATTAAGTGTGGTCGTGTAGAAAAAAATGTAAACAGTAGTTATTCTTTAAAGTGTTTGGCAGATCTCTATATTTATACGCATACAACTGTCACAATAATTCCCAAGATGCCAGTCATGCCTCTGTGGGTTTTAATTTACCAGGAAGGGGTAAGAAACACAATAGGGCCGTAGGACACGTGAGAAATGGAAAGAATCGAATCCATTAAAGGTTTATTTGTGAATATAAAAAAATAAAAATCAATACGCCCATTTTACAAACAGTGACCGCCTCTGATAATTGTACATAAGTAACGATGCTTTTGTTCTTACACAGATAAAATGGGGATATTAATGATTGACAACTCTACAGCGATGGTGTAAAACTCAGGTTTACTTTTAGGCCGGGGCCAAGGCCAGGGTAGCGGGGAGTGCTCGCCACGGGAAGAGGCATCGACAGTAGAAGATCTGTGTGGTGCGATCCTCGCAGGCTAAAAAGGAATTCTTGCACGGCCATCGGCCCTTGGCTGTATCCCAAAGTGCCCCATCACCTCCGCGGATTTTTTCTGAGCTATTCAACCAGAATTCCAGATCAGATCACGGTCTTAATAATCCAGCCTGCTGACTACAGTATATGCATTTAAGGGAGAAAAAAAAGCAACTCGCCGTGGATATCAGTTACAGTCTACAGTTACAATGAATTAAAGTCGGACTTTGTAAAGTATTGTGAATATAGACCTTAAGGCCTTGTGGAAATAACTGATTTAAGGCTTACGAGTTAATAGAACTCTACACGCCGATTTAGGTTATCGTGACCCAGACGGGAATCTTAGACTTGGGCGTTGGATGTAGGAAAAGGGATTGCGACTGGAGAGATCAGGGACATTCAGTGTCGCTGGTCGCCTTGGATACGGGACCCTAGTCTCCACTTTAACTCTTAAAAGCGACAGGATGCCGGTTTTGGTTGTCGCTTTAGGAGAGTCGTAAGGTGAGACAATTATGACAGACTAGCTTAATTGAGAGGCGCTCGCCGAGCCGGGGCGGGTATTTCCGGGCCGACTGGAACGGGGAGTTCCATGTTTACAAAACAATACCTGCTCGCGGCACGTACCAACAGGCGCGCGCCGTCCGGGTCGCGGCCGCCCGCGAGCGCTTTATCCGAGCAGAAGCAGACATCACAGCAAAATATCTCCTGTTATTCTCCTC